TCCACACCAGCACTCTAAAACTATAGAGGTTAACTAATACTTCTTACTCCTTCTCCCTGAAGGCTTTAATTACTTTCCTCAAAGAGATATCTTTCTAATGAAAGTTCCCAAAACTCTTCCTTCCTTCCCTTTCAAAACTCCTGACTCTTCAAACTCCCAACTCCAAACTGACTAACTCCCAACTGACTAAACATCAATGACTTAAATCAAGAAATAGTTTTCTAAGATCTACAGAGACACTCGCTAGAACACCTCAGCAAGCGAGAGTCCAAAAGTGGCAGGCTCAATCCCAGAACCTCAATTAATGGCTGATACCAAATGGGAGACTCCCCCTGGGCACACGGAAAACTGGGCGATTTGGAAGGCGCTCTGGTACCATGAGATGCAGAGCCAACCTTAAGAAATGGGGCTACAAAGTGGAATCCACGACATGCGAGTGTGGAGAAGAGCAATCTACAGACATCTGCTGCGATGCAACCTGAGCCCTGGTACATGCACAATGGAGGACCTTCTTGCAGCAACACCAGAGGCACTCCAAGTGGCCAGCTACTGGTCAAAGATCATTTAATCAACTACCAAGCTTGCAAACTTTGTGGTTTGTTTGTTTGTTTAAAATGCAATACAACTGTTTGGTTTGCTCCTGACACGATAAATAAATAACTGACTAAACTATGGCTGCATTAGCTCCTTTCTTTCCCTCTGGCTCCGCCCATCTCCAATTTCATCAGCCAATCAGACTGCACTTCCAGCTATGAAGCTGCCTGACCTCTCCTCCCCTCTGCTCTCCTTAGCTTTTTCAAGCCAGGCCTGTTACTGGCCTGTACACTCACCTTGTAAGGAGTGATGAATTTGCTTTGAGGTAAAGGAGCTCTCCAAGGTGCTGAACCATATCACCAAAATATGTTCAGCACTATGGATATTTTCTTCAAAATCTGAGTTAAAGACTGAAGCAGATACACTGTTCCACTATGATGGGAGCCATCGCCTTCCTCTGAGGTTGAGAGATGGTGGCTTTCTCAAGGCCAACCAGTAGCTTTCCATGGATCAGTGTGGATTTAAACACTGGTCTCTCAAAGTCTTAATCCCAAACTCAATGTAACCCTACATAGGCACTCTGTTATTGCATAATGTCCATAAGAACATAGGAAGTATTGGGTTGTAGATTTTTCAGGCTGTATGGCTATGTTCTGGAAGCATTCTCTCCTGACATTTCACCTGCATCTGTGGCAGGCATCCACAGAGGTTATGAGGTATCTCACAGATACAGGCAAAACGTCAGGAGAGAATGCTTCTAGAACATGGCCATACAGCCTGAAAAACCTACAACAACCCAGTGATTCCGGCCATGAAAGCCTTTGACAATACATAGGAAGTGTTGCATTGGATCGCCATAATTGCAACCAAGCTTCCTCCTCTCTTTAGAGCATTCTCTGAAAAAAGGGCTCCATTGGTTGCGTATAGGAATGGCCATCTGTCGGGAGTGCTTTGTGTGTTCCTGCCTGCAGAAGGGGGTTGGACTGGATGGCCTTTGTGGTCTCTTCCCAATCTATGATTCTAGGAAGTTCACATTCAGGACATTTGGGGCCCTTCCAGACAGACCCTATATCCCAGGATCTGATCCCAGGTTTTCTGTTTATCCCAGATTATCTGGCAGTGGGGACACATATAATCCATTTTAAAGCAGAAAACCTAGGATCAAATCCTGGGATATAGGGCCTGTCTGGAAGGGCCCCTAGAATGTCAGTGTCTTTGGGAGGAAGGTGCAATTTAATTAATTACGTAGGTAATTAAACAACACCCTCTGTCCTCCTTAGCAACTGATATAAAGAAAACATTACAGCTGAACCCAAATCATTCAGCTACATTGCAATATTCTTGTACCATTTGTTGTTTATTCATTCAGTCGCTTCCGTGGCCAGTGGTCACCCTCAGCTCCTTTAAGGTCAATCCATTCACTTCATAGATGTCATCCATCCATCTTGCCCTTGGTCAGCACCTCTTCCTTTTTCCCTCCATTTCCCCCAACATCATTGTCTTCTCTAAGCTTTCCTGTCTTCTCATGATGTGGCCAAAGTACTTCATCTTTGCCTCTAATATCCTTCCCTCCAGTGAGCAGCCGGGCTTTATTTCCTGAAGTATGGACTGGTTGGATCTTCCCGCGGTCCAAGGCACTCTCAGAACTTTCCTCCATCACCACAGTTCAAAAGCATCTATCTTCCTTCGCTCAGCCTTCCTTATGGTCCAGCTCTCACATCCGTAGGTGACTATGGGGAATATAATTGCTTTAACTATGTGGATCTTGGTTGCCAGTGTGATGTCTCTTCACTATTTTATCGAGATTGGTCGTTGCTCTCCTCCCGAGAAGTAAATGTCTTCTCATTACTGGGTGCAGTCTGCATCTGCAGTAATCTTTGCACCTAGAAATACAAAGTCTGTCACAGCCTCCATGTTTTCTCCCTCTATTTGCCAGTTATCAATCAGTCTGATTGGCAGAATCTTGGTTTTTTTTTATGTTTAACTGCAACCCAGTTTTTTCACTTTCTTCTTTCACCTTGGTTAGAAGGCTCCTCAGCTCCTCCTCACCTTCTGCCATCAAGGTGGTATCATCTGCATATGTAAGGTTGTTAATGTTTCTTCCAGCAATTTTAACCCCAGCCTTGGATTCCTCAAGCCCTGCACGTTGCATGATGCATTCTGCACACAAGTTGAATACGTTGGGTGAGAGTAACCATTCAATCCATTTTGTTTGTTTCCATCTACAGTTGTCTTCATGATGCACTTTCCCCTGTCCTAATGAAGGCCACACCCCACTGCTCCTTCTTCTTGGGCTCCTTCTTCATAAATACACTTTTTCTATTCCTCTCTCACCCAGGGTGTTAATGTTTTAACATTTTATCTTGCACATTTGGCCCACCCTTTGTGTTTGACTTTTTATTATGTTATTTTGCACTGTTTATTTTATTTCATTTAAAATAAAATAAACATTTTGCTGTGATGTAATTTTATTGTTGTTGTGTCTAACTTTGCTGTGTTATTTTTGGGCTTGGCCTCATGTTAGCAGCCCTGAGTCCCCTTTGAGGAGATGGTGGTGGGGTATAAATAAAGTTTATTATTATTATTATTATTATTATTATTATTATTATTCAACCCTGTCAAACTCCTTTCCCATAAGAAGACAAAAGTCTTCTCCTTATCTGCTTTCTGCTTAGAAGGCTCCTCAGCTCCTCCTCGCTTTCTGCCATCAAGGTGGTATCATCTTATGTTTACACATTACATGTCCCTTTAGGGTGTTTCTACACTGCAGAATTAATGCAGTTTGACACCACTTGCTTTTTTTTTTTGTCGTGTCAGGAGTGACTCCTGGTGTGAGAGAATTGGCTGTCTGCAAGGACGTTGCCCAGGGGACACCTGGATGATTTGATGTTTTTATCATCCTTGTGGGAGGCTTCTCTCATGTCCCCGCATGAGGAGCTGGAGCTGATAGAGGGAGCTCATCTACCTCTCCCCGGATTCGAACCTGCGACCTGTCGGTCTTCAGTCCTGCCGGCACAGGGGTTTAACCCACTGCGACACCGGGGGCCCTATGGAATCCTGAGAGGTGTCGTCTTACAAAGTCTTCTTCTCTGGTAAAAAGTGCTAGTTCCTCGCCAAACTAAAAGCATTCCAAAGCACTGAGCCACGGCAGTTAAAGCGGTATCAAACTGTGTTAAGTCTACAGTGTAGGTGCACCCAGATATTCTCATCTGCACTATACAGATCCCTGTATCTTATTGCATTTTCTGTGGTAGCCCCACGACTTTGGAACACCCTCCCCAAAGACATCAGACAAGCCCCTACGTTGGCAGTCTTTAGGAAGAGTTTGAAGACCTGGCTGTTCCGATGTGCCTTTCCAGAATAGGAACTCCAGCAAAATGTCCCAGAAGCACTTTATCAGAGTTTTAAGATGGTCTGCACATTGCACTTACCCTAAAATCCTACATCCACCTGTCACACCCAGCACTTTTTAATCTGTACCCATTACATTTGGCCCAGGCCTAGTTTTTATTGCATCGTGTATTGTTTTTATTGTTTACTGCTATTGTTTTATTGTTTGATTTGCTTTAAGTTATGTGTTTTTGTTATGCTGTTGTTTTATTGAGGCCTTGGCCTGTGTAAGCCGCATCGAGTCCTTCGGGAGATGCTACAGACAAAGTTAATAATAATAATAATAATAATAATAATAATAAAGTTCAACTATCCACACCAAGTAAGATTCAAGCTAAGTCAATGCAATTATTTTTAAATATTATCCTCGGCCATGAACCCTACTTGGTGACATTGGGCAAGTCACACTCTCTCAGCCTCAGAACAAGCCTCTTCTCAACAAAGCTTGCCAAGAAAACAACAACCCTGTAATAGGTTCGCCTTAGGGTTGCTCCAGATCAGAAACGACAAGGGAGATCAAATAATGAAAACGCCATCCTCCCATGCAAGGCAGTTCAATTTCCTTTGTGCGACCAGAGTTTGTAATCCGGCAGACTTTAGGACCCGGCTTCTCTTTTCTTGAGAGGAAAAAAGGAGGAAGAGCTCTGGAGGAGGAGGCGGAGCCTTAAAAATAGCCTCGGTAGCGGACCAATAAGAGACGCCGCTGGGCGTTCCGTTATTTACATAGGAGAAAAGGAAGCAAAAGGTCCTACTGAGGGAGAGAAGGAGAGGAGGAGTTCCCATCCAGGGGCGGACCAATGAGAGAAGACATTGGGCGTTCTCTAATTTACATACCGCCGTGTGGCGCCCAATGGCATGGCCAGCCCACGAATAGGAAAGAAAGAGGCGGAGTTTGCCGGGACAGCTTTGACAATAGCGGACCAGAAGAGGAGGAGTTCCCATCCAGCGGCGGACCAATGAGAGAAGACGCTGGGCGTTCCATTATTTACATACCGCCGTGTGGCGCCCAATGACTAGGCCAGCCCACGAATAGGAAAGAAAGAGGCGGAGTTTGCTGAGACAGCTTTGACAATAGCTTCCCCCGCGGACCAATGAGAGGAGGAGGTGGAGCGTTCCATGATTTACATACCGCCGCGGACCAACCAGAGAAGGCGCTGGCGTTTTCTGATTTACATAGGAGAAAAGGAAGAAAAAGACCCTACTGAGGGAGAGAAGGCGGACCAATGAGATAAGACGCTGAGCGTTCTGTTATTTACATACCGCCGTGTGGCGCCCAATGACTAGGCCAGCCCACGAATGGGAAAGAAAGAGGCGGAGTTTGCCGGGACAGCTTTGACAATAGCTTCCCCCGCGGACCAATGAGAGGAGGAGGTGGAGCGTTCCGTGATTTACATACCCCTGCGGACCAACCAGAGAAGGCGCTGGGCGTTCCGTGATTTGCATACCTCCGCGACGCGCCCAATGGCTGTCCGGCCACTAGCAGAGCGTCCTCTAGCCGAGAGAAGGAGGAAAAAGGAAGGCTGAAGTCCGAGGAAGGCAGCCGGGGAAGGCGCTGCGGCGGCGGCTGAGAATGGCCGCGGCGGCGTCGTCCTCCAAGGAGCAGGCGGAGCCGCCTCCCGCGCCGAGGAAGCGAGGCGGAGACCCTCGGCGGAGGCAGGCGGCCCTCTTCTTCCTCAACAACATCTCCTTGGACGGGCGGCCGCCTTGCTTGGGGGCCCCGGGGAAGCCGCAAGAGCAGCCGCCTCCACCGCTGCCTTCCCCGCCGCCTCCCCCTCCTCCTCCCCCGCCGACACAACCGGAGGACAAAGCCCCCGCCAGCGAGAGCGGGCTTCTGCTCCCTTCCGCGCCTGAGCCGGACCCCACACGGAGCCTGGGCCCCGCCTTGCTGCCTCAGTTGCTGCTCGGGAGCCCGCTCTGCCCGGTCCCCGCCCCGGCACCCTCCGCTGCCGCTGCCGCCGGAGCCTTGGCCGGGATGCTCATCGGGGCCGCTGCCGGGAAGGCCCCGCAAGGGCTGCTCAGCCCCGGAACACAGAGCAGCAGCAGCAGCGTTGGAGCAGGAATGGGGCTCCCCTTGGAGATCCAGAGGCAAAGGTGAGCACTCAGGAGGGACATCTGTCGGGAGGGCTTTGAGGGTGTCTCCCCGCCAGAGCGGAAACCCAACTCTAGGATTCTATGTATCCAGTCTGTCCCCTTTTCCCCAGAAGAGAAGGTTTTGAGGGTTGGGCCAACTTGGAGTAGGAGAGGGGCTCCCCTTGGAGATCTAGAGGCAAAGGTGAGCAGCCCTGAGTTCCTGGCCTTAGGGGCATCTGTCGGGAGGGCTTTGAGGGTGTCTAGGATTCTATTTAGTTAAACCCAATTCTGTATCCAGTCTATTCCCTTTTCCCCAGAAGAGAAGGTTTTGAGGGTTGGGCCAACTTGGAGTAGGAGTTGGGCTCCCCTTGGAGATCCAGAGACAAAGGTGAGCACTCAGGAGGGACATCTGTCGGGAGGGCTTTGAGGGTGTCTCCAAGCCAGAATGGAAGCCCAGCTAGGGTTCTATTTAGTTAAACCCAACTTTGTATCCAGTCTATTCCCTTTTCCCCAGAAGAGGAGGTTTTGAGGGCTGGGCCAACTTGGAGTAGGAGTTGGGCTCCCCTTGGAGATCCAGAGGCAAAGGTGAGCAGGCAGGAGGGACATCTGTCGGGAGGGCTTTGAGGGTGTCTCCCTGCCAGAATGGAAGCCCAGCTCTAGGATTCTATTTAGTTAAACCCAATTCTGTATCCCTTTTCCCCAAAGAGAAGGTTTTGAGGGTTGGGCCAACTTGGAGTAGGAGTTGGGCTCCCCTCGGAGATCCAGAGGCAAAGGTGAGCAGGCAGGAGGGACATCTGTCGGGAGGGTTTTGAGGGTATATCCAGGCCAGAATGGAAGCCCAACTAGGATTCTATTTAGTTAAACCCAATTCTGTATCCAATCTGTTCCCTTTTCCCCAGAAGAGGAGGTTTTGAGGGTTGGGCCAACTTTGAGTAGGAGGCAGGCTCCCCTTGGAGATCCAGAGGCAAAGGTGAGCAGCCCTGGAATCCTGGCCTTAGGGGCATCTGTCGGGAGGGCTTTGAGGTTGTCTTCCTGCCAGAATGGAAGCCCAGCTGTAGGATTCTATTTAGTTAAACCCAATCTATTCCCTTTCCCCCAGAAGAGGAGGTTTTGAGGGTTGGGCCAACTTGGAGTAGGAGGGGGGCTCCCCTTGGAGATCTAGAGGCAAAGGTGAGCAGCCCTGAGTTCCTGGGCTTAGGGGCATCTGTCGGGAGGGCTTTGAGGGTGTCTTCCTGCCAGAATGGAAGCCCAGCTGTAGGATTATGAACCCTTAAACTTAGGACCCTTCCACACAGCCCTATATCCCAGAATATCAAGGCAGAAAATCCCACATTATCTGAGCGTGGACTCAGATAACCCAGTTCAAAGCAGATATTGTGAGATTTCCTGCCTTGATATTCTGAGATATAGGGCTGTGTGGAAGGGCCCCCAGTTCTGTATCCAATCTATCCCCTTTTTCCCAGAAGAGGAGGTTTTGATTCTATAGAGTTGAGCTATAACAGTTCAAGTGGGATCAGTCTATTTCTACAGTGTAGGCCAGACCTGGGCCAACTTGGAGTAGGAGGCGGGCTCCCCTAGGAGATCCAGAGGCAAAGGTAAGCAGTCCTGGAATCCTGGTCTTAGGGGCATCTTTCGGGAGGGCTTTGAGGGTGTCTTCCTGCCAGAATGGAAGCCCAGCTGTAGGATTCTGAACCCTTAAACTTAGGGCCCTTCCACACAGCCCTATATCCCAGAATATCAAGGCAGAAGATCCCACAATATCTGCTTTGAACTGGGTTATCTGAGTCCACACTCATTATTTTTATTTATTTCATGCATTTCTATCCTACCCCTCTCCCCCCGAAGGGGAACTCAGGGCGGCCTCACACAAGCATCATTTGATTAAATATAATCAAAAATTATATTTAAAACAGTAAAAATCATTAAAAACATTATGGAAATTCATTAAACAATAATTTAAACATGCCAATTAAAACCAAGTCCAAATCAGTAAAACCATTGTTGCAGATATCCTAAATTCTCTTGCCAATTGCCGCTGCCCACTAATCGAATGCCTGGTCCAAAAGCCAAGTCTTCAGTTGTCTTCTAAAGGCCAAGAAGGGAGGTGGCCAACCTGATGTCCTTTGGGAGAGAGTAACACAGACGGGGGGCCACTGCCGAGAAGGCCCTGTCTCTCGTCCCCACTAACCACGTCTGCAAAAGTGGTGGGATTGAGAGCAGAGCCTCTCCTGACAATCTTAAGCTTTGTGGTGGTTCGTAACAGGAGATACGTTCGGAGAGGTAATCTGGGCCAGAACGGTTTACTCAGATAATGTGGGATTTCCTGCCTTGATAATCTGGGATATAGGGCTGTGTGGAAGAGCCCCCAATTCTGTATCCAATCTATTCCCTTTTCCCCAGAAGAGGAGGTTTTGATTCTGTAGATTTGAAACATAACAGTTCAAATGGGATAAGACTGTATTTCTACAGTGTAATTATTATTATTATTATTTGGCTCATAATAATAATAATAATAATAATAATAATAATAATAATAATAATAATCTATTCCAAGAGAAAGTGGGACTTTTTCTGAACCTGGACACTCTTGAAACCTAGGTCCATCCACATATTCTTGTTGGGTTCCTTTCAGTCACTTCCCATTAGCATTTTTGAGATATTTTATTGCTATCCTTAGTAAATGGAGATAGACTAGTCATGGACCAACTTGAGCCCTCTCAGGTGTTTTGGACTTCAACTCCCAGAATTCCTAAGAGCCTCAGGTTCCTTCCTTTTCCTTAAGGAAATACCCTTAAGATGGTTTTCTTAAGCCTTGGGGTCTCTTCCAGTTGTAGGATTGCAATCTCAAAGTATCTCAAACTCATAGCATAGTCAAATTTAAGACTACGACCATGGATAATGGGGTCCATGCCCGGTGAGCTTAGGCTAACAACGAATGGATTCAACTGAAGTGAAAGCCACACGTTTCTGGTCTGTTATCCTTTTTTTGCTCTTATAAACAAGCAGAAAAACCTCTCTGGAGAACATTTGGAAAAAGAACATCTGGAAAAGGAAGGGTCCTGAGGCTGTTAGGAATTCCGGGAGTTGAAGTCCAAAAGTTGGCCCATGTCTGGTGTAAACACACTCATTGACTTCTGTATCACATTGATTGCCCTATTGATCTTCCTGCCTTTGCTCTTCTTCCCACCTGTTTTGATGGCATTGCCAGTCTAAGAGCTCACTCCTGCTTTGCTTAGTTCAAAATCTCACCCTCTCTGTGTGTATATTTACTTTGTGTGTGTGTGCTTTATAGCACTAGGCCTTCATTCAAAGTGGTTATTCTGTGGATCTAAGTGGCTTGTACAGAACCAAAGACATTACAATAAAAAGTTCATTGGAGGAAGGAAAACATACTAAGTAAGAGAAAACCCTCCATTGGGAAATAATTGCCTGGCAAAAGTCTGGTCTTATCCTAGGTAGGTTTACCTGGGTGCATCTACACCAGTGGTTCTAAACCTTCCTAATTCCACAACCCGTTAATACAGCTCCTCATGTTGTGGTGACACTCAACCATAAAACTATTTTTGTTGCTACTTCATAACTGTAATTTTGCTACTGTTATGAATCATAATGTCAATGCCCGATATTCAGGATATATTTTCATTCACTGGAGCAAATTTGGCACAAATACCTGACACATCCAAATTGGTGGGTTTAGGGGGGGGGGTTGATGTTGTCATCTGGGAGTTGTAGTTTCTGGTATTTATATTTAACCTACAATCAAAGAACATTCTGAACGTCACCGACGATGGAATTGAGCCAAACTTGGCACATAGACCATCAGAAAATATAGGAAAGGTTTGGTGGCCATTGACCTTGAGTTTTGGAATTGTAGTTCATCTACATCCAGAGAGCACTGTGGACTCAAACAATGGTGGATCTGGACCAAGTTTGACACAAATACTCAATATATCCAAATATGAACACTGGTGAAGTTTGGGGGAAATAGACCTTGACATTTGGGAGTTGTAGTTGCTGGGATTTATAGTTCACCTACAATCAAGGAGCATTCTGAACCCCATCAATGATTGAATTGGTCCAAAATTCCCACACAGTACCTCCATGACCAACATAAAATACTGTGTTTTCTGATACTCTTTGGCGACCCCTCAGACATTCCATCGTGACCCCCAGGTTGAGAAACACCGATCTACACTGTGGAATTAATGCAGTTTGACACAGCTTGAACTGCACTGGATCAATATTATTTGTGGTTTGGTGGAGCATCAGCACTCTTTGGGAGGCTGGATGGCCTTCTGTTGGGGGTGCTTTGAATGCAATTTGCCTGTTTCTTGGCAGAATGGGGTCAAAGTGGATGGCCCACAAGGTCTCTTCCAACTCTTATGATGCTATGAGAGAAGACTCAAGACGTAAATACAACTCCTAGGATTCTGTAGCATTGAGCCATGGCAGTTAAAATTGAGTCAAACTGCATTAATTCTCTAGTGTAGATGCATCCATGGTGACTTGGGAAATTCTTATCAGGCCTTGCACTTCACTGAAGGCCATTCGTGGACCAAGCTCTATTGTTGTTGTCCTTGAAATACTTTCTTTCAGTTGAAATTACTTAATGTGTGATGAATTGCTTGCACATCCCTTTAATGAATATCTCGCCTGCTGTGAGAACAGCAGGCTTCATTGAAGGGCAAGCTGTGTTACAAAAACACTTTTTTTGTGTGCAGAAGAAATCTGTCATGTGGTTGGAGTTCTGTCTGTTTTCTAGAAGTTGAATCAGTGGGTGCATCCACGCTGTAGACTTAATGCAGTTTGACTCCACTTTAAGTGCCATAACTTGATGCTGTGAATCCTGGGAATTGTAGTTTGGTGAGGCATAGAATAATAGCATTGGAATAGCAAACTCATGGGCCATCCAGTCCAACCCCCTGCCAAGAAGCAGGAAAATCACATTCAAAGCAACCCCAAAAGGTGGCCATCCATCCTCTGTTTAAAAGCCTCCAAAAAAGGAGCCTCCACCACACTCT